AAAAAATTTTTATATCAAAACCCCTAATTTTTTTTTAAAAAACATCTCAAAATTTTTCCCTTTTTTTTTTTTTTTTTTTTTTTTTTGGCTGTCATGCATTGTCAAGGTCAGTGCGATGCTGAGACAGCCTTTCTGTCCCGTCAAACCCGTTTGAAGAAATATTACACACTCCTGGCCGGATCTATAAGTATAGCACTTGGAATATACTGCGACAGAGACAGATAAGCACTGAAGGAAAACCATCACTCATTTAGGGCCATTTGGGTTAAGTCAACAATTTCAAAACCGGCCCACATCACCTGGGCATTATAAAACACACAGATGCACACAAACGCTTAAAGCCCGGCATCCCCCTGCAGGACTGCAGCACGCCCTGTTGTCAAACTATTGGCAGGTCCCGACTTTTGTTGGGAGTCGGGACTTTACTCGCTCCGTACGATGTGCGTCCACTTAGCTCCGCACAAAGTGTTTAATTGGTCTGAGGAGGAGGAAAAAAACAGATAATAGGCACTTAGAAGATGTGAGGAGGGGTGTGTGGCTAAGAATGAATGAAGGATGTCATGAATGATGCCCTCTGTGCTTTCTGTGATATCACGTTCCTCTTTAACAGTCCAGACCTTTAATGCCCCAGCCCCCGCCCCTTCCTGTCTCAGTTAACAGGAGTGTCTGAATTGGCCACCAGCAGCAACAAAAGAAAACAACTTCAAGAACGTAAATTAAACATACTGCAGATGCTTTTGACTTGCTGTGTGTGTGTGTGTGTGTGTGTGTGTGTCCGTGTGTGTGTATGTGGGCTACAGGGCCCTCCAGGCTGGGTGAATAATTAACAGGGCCAGTGAGTGAAGTAGGTACCAGGCAGGGTGTTTTGTTACCCCCGCCTCACTCAGCACGAGCAAACAGCATTAGATAAGCCTATCTCTATCCGCCTGACTTGTGTGCATGTGTGTGCGCAGTTGGGCCACTTTAGATGATTCAACCATTTGATACCTTCAAAAGCCTCCTGCAGCTCGGTAACAGTTCCCGACAGAAAGCCTAGACATCCCTTGTCAAACGAAGATGGGCTCCAGCAGCTGCAGCCACTGAACATCTTGTCACGTCTCACAAAGTTAAATATATTTCTTCCGTCAATACATTGAAAGGAAACCAGCTTTTAGTCCAGAGAAGAAACATGTAGTTTCACATCCCTTGAATATTTATAGTTTTTTTTTTTGTTTGTTTTTTTTACATGTTAAAATCACAATCTTTAAAGTATTTTTATTGAGATTGTACGTGACAGACCAACACAAAGTAGTGCATCACTGTGGATCAGAGCAGTACAATGCGTGTTGGTATTCACACACCTGGTAGAATCCAGAGGAACCAATTGTCTTCAGGGGTTTGTAACAGTCCATCTGTGTGCATCTTTAACTCGGTGTGTGAAAGCAGGGGCTCTTGGAAGACCTAGAGGTTTGCTAGAAAACATTAGTGAACAAGCAACATCATGAAAACCAAGGAACGCAGCTGACAGGCGAGGGGGACAGTTGAGGAGAAATTCAAAGCAGCTTTAGGTTTCAAAATTGTGGGGATACTTTCTTCCAGCTTTGGACAAGGGAGAAGAAAGGTGGTGAGACCTGATGGGAAGATGATGGAGCTAAAATACAAGGCAATCCTGAAAGAGAAGGCTTAAGCCTAAGAAGGAGGTTTCATTTTTTTTTTTTTTGTAGGACAGCGAACATATTCAGATATGTAGAGGTTACACATTTCCTGCTTCCTAATTATCCACTGCTCTGTTAGTTTATCAGATAAAACAATCTAAAATCTAAATCAGTCTGATAAATTCTGAGCCTTGAGGTTGCCGTGTAAAAGAGTTTGAGGGTATCAAAGCTTTTGCGAATCACTGTGTTTGAGACATTTTATCTTAAATTCAGAGTAAAACAAGCCTCTCATTTATTTTAGAGAAAATAATTTCCCCCCCCCCCAGAATTTAAGGGCTGCATTTTGTTTGCAAAGCTAAGTGTTGCATTCTGTCGGGCTGCACGCTGTGCCTTAGCTGTTACGAAAATACAATGACTTCTCTATTTAGCCTTTGTTGAACTGACAGGCTGCCACCCTCAACTGTTGTAAGGCAGAGACGAAGTCTGTGAAGGAGAGAGAAGAAACAACGAGCTGAGAAAGTCTGCTCTGCGAAATGCTCAGCTTTAGCTTTCGGTGTCGGCGAAGTTGCGTTAGATTAAAATATTCTGTCACACTCAGTTGTTTTCATTGAGCAAACACAATTTTTAGCCCCACTTTTTTTTTTCTTTTTTTTATTTAAACCACATGTATTTTACTTGCAATGAAGCAATATTTGTGAATAATTTCTGCAGGTTTACTGTAAGCGAAGATAACGCCACATTCCGACATTCCACACCCAAAGTTTGCCTCCCATGTTTGCAAGATAGGAAAGAAGGTTTCCATCAGGTCTGCAAACAAAATATTTGACTTTTATTCAGCGTTAGTATTTTGTTTACATTCTATTTACAACATAAGACACGCATGGAAGTCGGCGTGGAGGGGGAACAAAAGAGAAAAAAAAGATATCATCCCGTAAAGAGGGTAAAACAAAAATCTAAACAGCGTCAGAGACAAAAGGAGAACTTTTACATTAGAGGTCCAAGAAGAGAGCAAAGTATGTGCACCAGTGGAGGCAGTATTCAAGCTGATGACATACAAACTTCACAGGACTAGTGATGTGAATCTAGACATTAAAGAAAAACATATCAACGCCTTCTTTTACAGGTCGGGGCTACAATATTAATACTGCAAACAATGACAAGGAAGGAATATCAAACATGTACTAAACTTCAGACCCTGTTCATAGCCTGTTGTAGCACCTGCAACGCCACCTACTACCAGAGCCCGACTGCTGATATCATGACAGATGATTACTGAGCAAGTTGATTCAAGTATGAGAGTCTGTTGTTTTTCAGCAGGGCTTGGTTTGTGTGGTGCAAGTGTAAATGTAGCTCACAGAGAAAGAGAAAGAGAGAGATAGAGAGAGAGATCAAGTTGTTTTCCCCCCTTTAAGTTGGTTATTTTATGTTGTTCAAATGAAAATTTTCTTTAGTTTAATACTTACAGCACCCTAAAAAAAAAAATCTATTGCCACCCGTTAAATTTGTGTAAGAACAACTTATGAACATTTGCTGCAATTTTACATCTGTCGATGTCGGAGAATTTTTATTTTTATTTCCCTTTTTGTCTTTTTCACTCTGCATAAAAGTTGGATCCTCATTTCAATCCATCTGTCGCAATTCTATGCTTTTTTAAAACCTCTCTCATTATTGCTCTGATTGGGTTTTCATAGGAACTTAGCTGATTAGCCATCATCTTGTAATCATGTTATCTGGATTAGTTTACCGTTAGGTTCTGTTGTTTTTCCAACTGTGAAGAGAAATTGGCTTCTGCGTCAGATTTGTTTGTTGCAGAAAAACAAAAAGTTTGGGGCTACAAAACCAAATATAGAAATTAATCATAAAGGAAATATTGGGGGTGCCAAAAATTGCTGGAGCTGTAATTCAGTTAATTGTCCCCACACGCTTGGCCCCCATCTGAATAAATGCTCTCAACCTAAAGGTTGGATTCTCTGAAAATGTTCACAGTGACATTATACTACTGAAATGAAAGAGTAATTTATTTCAGGGATATTTTACAAAAAGCATGGAGGGTGTCACTGATCCCAGCTTCTACCTGTGATTGAAGCTTATATGAGTCTGAGTAGAAAGCAAACACTATACCCGATGCCAAAGTGTTACAGTGAGCGGAGGTTGCTATTGCCCGAATATTCCCAGCTCTATGTATACTTTTAGCTTGTGTCACATTACAAGAAACCATAAAAGAATCTTTTTTTTTTTTTTACACTATGGCTTCTCTTGATCTTGTTTCACCCAGCTGTTCCTAAGGAATGCCAAGAAACAAGATAAACGGAAAAAAAAGTAACAGAAGACGGCTTAAAAACACACAATTGTTTGCACGTTCTAATTTCATAGAACAAAAATGTCATCGAATCTCATAGGGCTAACCGTAGAGCCATCTCATTCCCATAATAAGATTAACGATGTGTGACGAAACACAGAAAAGACAGAGAAACATACAGTGCACTCAACAATTATTGGCACCTCCTGGTAGTTTTTTTTTTTTTTTTAAAGTTAGAAAATAATTAATCTTTTACTGCAAGTAGCATAATCAGACACATGAAAAGTTTACTGTTGACTAATGTTGGTAATGCTTCTCTTACCAACATTTTCCACTGCAGGGTGTGAAGATGATCTTGGGCTAAACGTGGTGCAACGAAAGCCCATTTTCTGACATAGTAATAGTTCCTTTCCCATTTGGAAGAGTGGCCAAGAGAAATAGGTCCCTGCTTTCTGTATACATTCTCCTAGAAAGTATGAAGTCTTTCATTATTGTGACGTTTACAGACACTGGTCAACTTCGATTGGGATGAGTAGCATATGTGCTGCTTAATGTTTTTGTTTTTTTTCCTTCCTAAGTGACCTTGTTTGTCACAGTTTAAGTTTTCTAAAACTTGTAATACTGTCTCTGCTGCTGATATTTTCAAGCTTGAATGAGCAGCAGTTTTCTTCTACTTATTTTCTTAACATGTTCTCTTTTTTACCATTTGGAATAGTGGCTAAAAGAAAATGGCATCTTGGTGATGTTGTTTCTCCAGGGAAACAAAGTTTTCGATTACCTATGAATAGTTCTTAGACATAGAAATTAAATGTAAAATTAATAAAAAAAAACACCATCAGGTATTGAAATAGGCCTCTGTGACTTCATACACATACTCTAAAGGGAAACAGGTCAATGATTACTAAATAATCATAAAACATTTTTTTGAAGAATGGCTAAAACACATATTTTATTATGGTAAAGCGTAAGAATAATTTGTTCAACAGCTGCTTTAAGATATCTAGTAGAGATGCCAATAATGTGGAGAGCCCTGTAGATTTTACATAAAGCCTTGAGAAGGCACTTCATTCAAGCATTGAAATTATAATAAGTTCTATAAAGTCTGCTGGTTTGCACATGGATGGCAACAGCAATGTCTTCCAGGCTTATCAAAGTAAAACTGTGGGAAAAGTAATTTAAGGCTAGCAATCGTGACGAGTTGAAATTAGTGCACAGAATTTAAGTAACAACTAAATAATGGAGAAATTATGTACAAAGTCAAGTGCAGCCCTGACAATGGCAACAGGGTAAGAAATCTTTACTGCGATAAATAGATTACGGAAGCAGAACGAAGAAACGGGAGACTACGGTAGCAACAATCGTAAATGAGTGATGCTCTGACTCATCCTCGATCGCTGCTGTCAAAGTTGCTTGTTTCACTAATACAAAGAGAGATGCGATCTCGGAATAAGGAGTGTACGTCCACCGTCATGCTGTCACATCTCTGACAGACAGATGAAATAAATTAACAATAAAGACAAGGTTAAAAAGGTCCATCATTAAAATGCATTGGAGCAGCAATAAATAGATTTTTCTTCTGTTTACAGTTATCACCAGACACTTTAAAACACAGGATCAATCCAAAGCAGTTTGATTTGTTGCTTTTGTTCCTAGGATGAAGGCTTGGTGGTCCTCCCTCTGCTGAGGAAGCCAGCAGGGAACATGGAGTAGATGAGATGCTTGTATAGATGTGTCCTTCCTTTGTTTCATCCGTAAAAAAACAACTTGCGGTGTCTCGCTGTAGCTGTGGTTATAGTTTTTTTTTTTTCTTCTTTTTTTTTCTGTTAATTCTGCCTCATAGCACAAACATTCATCTAAACACACACATACACACAACAGATTTGGAGCACCCGATGCCTTGCTGTCCCCACACAATGCAGTGTATCCTCCTACAGCCTTGTGCTTCTCTGAGTAGCAGTTGCCTCGTTGACACAGACCTAAGAACAGCTTTTGCTCCACGCTTTTTGTCAAAGCAATGAACCAAACCTAGAACTGAGTCCTTAGGGCAACTTCTTCCTCACGTCGCCATTCAGAAACACTAATTTATCTTCTTCTCGGATTTCAAGGAACCGTTGCGTTTGTGCTTCCCGTTGGCAATGCTCTCAGAGTGACAGTGTCCATTGGTCATGCTGCCGTCGACTCTTCTGCTGTGGTCGCCGGCCTTGCCCCTGAGGAGACGTACCAACCTATGCAGTAAAAACACTATGAGGGCGCCGGCAGCTGCAACAGCAAGAAGGACGTCCACAAGGAAGTACTGGTAGGGGGGCACTTCATACACAGCCGAGCGCAGGTGGTTAGCGCCACTGTGACGGAGGATGTAGCCGATCCAGTACACAGCCCTGGTGACTGGGTGGCCTGGCTGGTCTTTGTGAATGTTGGAGAGGAGACGAGCCTGCTGGCGGTACCTGGGAACAGGAGGACAGCAGAGATGGGGGTTAAAAAAACACACACAAAAAAAAAACAAAAACATGGGGACAACTCTGACTATGAAAAAAAAGAGATACAGAGAACACCATTCCCCGTTACAAACTACACAACTGCGAGCTCCTTTGGCTTTCTTTAAACACTGGAGTTTGTTCTGCCAGCTACATTGTAGAACATTACGTCGGGTCTAAGTCTACCTACACCCAAAAGCTGAAAATGGCATGCACCAAAATAAATCTTGGTTTATGAAACCATGAGCACACACACCAGAAATCAATTTCACCTTTATACATAGCAGCTGCAACTCGTTTGCTGCATCCGCCTCAGTTTCTGGCCCCCCTACACACCCATGTTCAACCATGGAAGGCGAATGCAAACTACCTTGTGAATGTCGGTGCATTTAAATGAGTCAGCAAACCAATGTTATTTCATGGTCAACAATGGAAACGGCAGAGAAATGAGTAAAGAAACACAATTTGACAAGGCAGAACTTGATGTGAGTGAGGTGGAGAGTTGAAAAGCTGTCACCTTTGGTAGCCACGGTAGTGGCGTGACAAATACAAGTTACACACTGCCGCCAGCATTTTAGGAAGCAGAAGGTTCGCTCCACAGTGGAGCGCTCATGGGTGTCAGCGATACTAAAACACGCCTTCTCTGCGCTTTGGGCAGTGGCTACACCTGAGGCAGTAGCCACTGCCTCCTGAAGCTTTCACTGGAAGAGTGTTTCAGCATCTCAGGCCTGAAATGTTTCAGGCCCTGGTTGTTGCATACGCCATGTTTGTAAATGTTTGTTGGAGAACAAAATCAATAGTTGTAAAAGTGGTTTCAGATTTTTATTTGTATAATAACTTTTCTTCTCCTTCACAATTATTTTCTTTGTGTTGGTCTATCACATAAAATCAAAATTTAAAAAACAAAGATTAATACATTTCAAAGCATTGCATGAGGTGCTTACAAAGAAATGTACGAGTAAAGATAACACCAATCAGTCCAACCTGGGGTCGTTGATGACACTGCTGAGGGAAGCGTAGAGATCTTTCTCCGTCATGTCTTTCCAGTGCAGCATGACTCCCATCCCTTTGGCTGCCACACGAGTCATGGTGTCATAGTGGTCTCCGAAGAGAGGCACACCCACCACCGGCACCCCATGATACATGGCCTCGTAGATGCTGTTTAAGCCCCCGTGGCTCAGAAAGGCCTTAGTGTGAGGATGGCCTGGATGGTGGGAAGCATAGGTGTTGAAATTATTAGTAACTATTAACATGCTGCGTTTCCTGCACTCCTGTTTTGATATAAATATTTACAGTTCTCAGGGCATGTGACAGAGACTCATCATTTTAAGTGGAACATACATTTTAAAAACACATTATTTCAAAAGTTTCTCCATAAAATCTTGATTTTATCACCTCTTTATGAAAACAAAGCAAACCTAAACATGCATTTCCTTTGTGTCAACAGAGTCACTTACTCTGACCTTTGAAAAAGGTCAAACATGAAAATGTGTAAATATTTTCTAACCTTTGTTCACACATCTTTAGAGCAGAACACGGATAGCATTCGCATTTAGATTTCACCACTAAAGTGGCTAATGAGTCTCTGAAACGTCTATCAGGTACAACCGGGTAAGTCCCATTATCCAGCTGTCTATCTATACATCTATTGGCTGGGCGGTAAATCTATTTTAACTATTACTTGATTTTTTATTTTATTTTTATTTCTTTCACCAATGCACTGTGTTTTTCCATAGTTCATAGAGTTATCAGCATGGCCAAGGCTGCCAATCTCATTTGACAAGAGTGTTTTACAGCGTCTGTTTATTTGGACTTTGAATTCAGGCCAACTCTACAATGAAATGCTCTTTTCAGGGACCATGAAACACAGTGCACAAAACCAGGCTAAATATAAATGGTACGCACTCACCCAATAGGTCATTCTGTGGCATCCAATCAACAAGCTTGGTGTTGTTGCCAAGGTTACTGGGTGCAACTCCAGAGAATCTAAAAGAAAGACAAGGAAAATCATAGTGAAAGGACCCGACACTGAAACAAGTTGTTCAGAAGAGACACACAGAAGAAAGGTGAATCTTTTTTTTTTTTTTTTTTTTTTTTATTTTTGGGCCGGGGTTAATTTCCAACCTGCAATATTTTTCAAATGCACCATGTCTGTGGCACATGCAACACAATGCGAGTGACTGAAATTATTTGCATATATACTTTTTCAGCCATAAGAAATGCTAAGATTTAGACAAATCAAGGTCCTAACAATACAAACTAAAAATTTATTTCCTTCTGTTTTTGTATAAACACCCCTGTTTCAGAATTGAAGCAGAGGTATTTATTCAAAATGTCTAGAAGGTAAATATTGTTCAAAGTACACAGAGATTTAGACAAGTGTTTTTAAGGTTTCCATGTACAGTCAAACGAGAAACCATTCAAATGAATCCCCTAACTGTGCACAGCATAATTAAACTGCAAGTGCTAACAAAACTTCTTAACAAGGTAAATTGCAATTCAATGAAGTTCACAGTTGTTTTAACATCCTTTTATACACTCACACTGAGGCTCGATGTACAAAGGGAGGAAAATATTTATACATTACTCACACCAGAAGCAAGTTCTAAAGTAATAACTCATGATGTCATATTGTTTGCATAACCACACGCCTCATGGACCAACCACTAACAAGCCTGTCAGCTCGGTCGCTTATGCATCAGTTAATAGATGCCATGTATGCACAATAAAACAATGCCAGAAAGATCCGTGGATACTGTCTGTGTCTACTTATCTTATTTAATCAGTGAGTAAAGGACTCGGGTTAGATTTTTTGTATCACGTTAAGTCAAATGTATTTGTACAGCACATTTTCAGCAACAACGCAGTTTAAAGTGCTTTGCATCATAGAAACATACAGCCATCAATGATGAAACAAGCAATAAATGTTACATTTTGTCAAATGTTTTCATGTATATATTTTCTTGATGGATTTTGACATCAATATTAAACATTTTGTAGCTACTTTCTTTCCACCAATAGCCACTAGGTGGTGCTTGTGGGTAAATAAAACAATGGTATAATCTTATTTGATTAAATATAAGCTTTTAAATGATTAATGAGTGGATTTTTTTTATATTTACAGAAGTTCCTTCTTTCCCCCCCAAAAAAAAAAAAAAAATCTCTATGGAAAATTGATAAATTTTGCATGCAGTGTTCACCACCATTTATTTTCTTTAGATAACGATAGGATAAGAAAATAAATTCTGCCTATTCAAATACATTGTTCATAAAATAGTGTTTCACAACGATTTAGTTAAAGAACTGGATGACTCCCAAGTTATGAAGGAAATGTGAATGGAATGCATCTAAGTATTAGAGTTTAATATTAACTGGCACTGTAAATGGCAGCAGTCTTTTCAGCAATTTCTGTGGCTCTGAGGGGAAGAGGATTGATGTATAAAGAAAAAAAAACAACTATTCATATTGCAAACTGCACCTGGTAAATCATTTAAAATAATGTCATAACCAATCTGTTTTTTGGTTTGCTTTTTTGGTTTTTCTATTTCAAAACAATTGCAAAAATCAAGTAGTCATGATAATTTTTTTTTTTACCATTTCTAAACTCTAAATCTAATAAATGTAAAATCAAAATAATTAACTCTGCTGTGCTTGATTATTATTTATATCTAAAGCTAAAATATAAGGTTGTTGTTTTACATGTAGCTTTTTTTGACCAGATAAAGATAAAGAGTAATATAGTTTTATTTTCTCTCTGCAGGCTACAGGTGCAGAAAGTGGGTGCTGATGTAGCGTGACATTAACTAATGATCCTGCTATTCAAATTAAGCATTCCTGGTATACAACAAATCGGCCAAACGTCATAGTATGAAAAACACCGGCATACCATGATCCCTGAGCCACAAAGCTTTACAGTGTTTGAATGTTGCCTGACAAATTGCTTGGAGAATAAAAGAAAGATCTTAAGTCTGATGAGTCCATAAAATGTTGAGTCTTTTCTCTTTGGGGAAGTCAATGCATTTTTGGGAAAATTAAAGTCTCTGGAGAGCACATCAGTATTTTCATCAATACAACTTTACTGGAGCTTTTTGCAATACATACAGGTGTTGCGCAATGTTACCAGAACCCACAGGTATCGGCAGATCTTTGATCACATTGGAGCTGATCATGACTATAAACCGATCCCTCCATAATAGAGGGATATGGAATATAACCCCAAAACCTTTTTAGCTGAGCACTTTTTATTATGTTTGCCACTATCAAATGAAATGTTTAATCAAAGTATGCTGCTCTTCTGAAAAAATCCTGGAATGGACACAATGTCTCAATAGTAAAAATAGGCAAATTTCATTAACGGGTGGATCTGAGAAAACAAAAGGTTAGAGAAGGTTGAACTGGCAAAGAGTGACTGAACTGCATGACACAGACCCTTAACACTTGTCATTGTGTGAAAGCAAGCAGAGTGCGAGATCGGTGGATGTGAAAGAGTGCGCGTGTAAAGCATTTCCGTTAACGATGCATATGCATGCTACAAAACAACCTCCATCTGTCCATCTCTGTCTGCTTCCCTCCGTGACTCAAAGTCTTTTATCCAGAGTCAACAAAGCCTCGTCTCATTGTCGTGCCAATCAAAGCCGGCATTCATGGAGGCATTTATCAATGAAACAATTCATTTGGTTTGATCCCCCTTTCGAACACATTGGCCCTCCATCTCTTACATCCTCTTGGTTTTAATAAACACTGAAAGCCTTTAAACAGAATCTTCTCTTTGTCTTCATTTATGCATCAGTTCATGGATTTAATTTTGATTGTATGTAAAACAAAACAAAAAAAAAAAGAAATTAAATGTGACGCGGCAACACAAAAACTACCCTGCAGTTGAACAAGGCGTACATGACCATTATGTGGATGTGAGGCTTGGCTGTGTAAATATGCAGATCATGGGAACATTTAGTAAATGGGAGCAATAAAAGGTGTCGTGTTCCATGTGACTGGGATACTTCTCTCCTGTGGCACGATAAAAAAAAAAAAAAACAATCTTATCAGAGTCATGTTCACAAGAAATAGTCAACTTCCCTGGGTGCTGCATAACTGACATCAGCTTCTCGATATTTTACAACTGCAATCCAGTTTCCAAAATAACAGTGGTTTAGTTTGCTAAATTATAGTAAAGGAGAGAAACAACGCACCAATTTTTAGCTCATATTTACATTAAAAATAGAGAAAGACAGCATGCTGCATCTTAATTATGAGAACTACTGAGCTTGCTATACGTATAAAAGAACAGAAAGAATGTGCTGCACATCTAGTCTCAAGATTATTGATATCTGCTTCTTAAATCACACCCAAACGTTTAACATATATCGTTTCTCTTATCTCCTGCACAGAAAAGGCATTCTCTTCCCTGTCGTCCGTCCTATCTTTACAAAGTTAGGAATGTGGTTTGTCAACTTTGAACTTTATCCTTTCACCGCTTCTTGTGTGTTTATTCATGAGGTGTGGAGTCTAAACAAAGATTCGTTCATTAAAAAAAAAAAGACTAAGTGATAAAGTGAGTGAAGGGAAAATGTGGGATTACTTTTCCTAATCATAGGTACTTACTTATTGTGTGTTATATATGTTAACTAACAAATATAGCATCAACAAAACTTAATCTATAATCCGATTATAATTCATTATGGAACATTAAAGCAAAGGTGAAAGAAAACATGACGATCGATATAAGTTGTCCCTAAATTTGGAGCCGGTAATGTTTGTTCTCACAAATATTCCTAAATAAATGTCAGCAGAACATTTTTGGTGGAAAGGTGATGAAGAGTGATGAGTATTACTGTTGGATTCCTGGGGAGAGGACATTATACTGGAGGCCAGTCAGTTTTACAATGAATTTCCTAATCCTGTATGGGATCAGAACAACTCAGAGATCTGGGTCTCTGTAATCAATGACTACATAAGATAAGAGTTAAGCATTAACATGCTCAGAGGCTATGTTTGAAATCACAGCCCCTCCATTTCTCTCTTTACTCTCAATCTTTTATTTCTTCTCTTATATTGTACTTACAATAAAGGCCAGTGTATGTCTCATGCTTTTATTCCCACAGTTTACCTAAAGCCTACCTTACTTTGCAGTCATACCTACGAAAGCACATTGGCAATTATTGTAGCTATCCGTCTTCATGTGTGTTACAATACACCAGCAAAGACGAAGTTTAGAAAATAAACTAAACTAATCCAGCTTTTTATACTCTTATGATCTGATGCAGTAATTAAAATGAAATAGTTCCTTTGTTAAAAATGGAAGTCATCAGGTTCGGCAGAGGCAAGTCTCATGATGTAAAGGAGATCACTGCGCATGAGATGACTCCAGATATTACGTACATGTGGGTGGGTCCGGACTCTGACCTTAGCAAACAACCCGGCACTGAGGGACAAAGCACTGCCTTTATTTTACAATGCTCCTGACCAGCTATATAGCTGATTACGGGGTTCCACGTCATGTGACATCAAGAATGATGAGTGTGTGTGTGTGTATATATATATATGAAAAAAAAAATCCTGTTCAAACATTATTCTGTGACAGATGAACGGGTGCATGCGAGCATTACCTCCAGATGACACGCTGTGGCAGACGGGCCAGAGCTCCTGCCAGTTTGTGAGCAATGTCCTGGGAGAGATACTTGACTCCAGCGCCAAACGACACCACCACAAAGCCATGCTCTGCTGTGTCGTTCACCAGGGCCTGAAAAGACTGAAGGAACAGAGACAAAATAGCCACAATAAGCTACAGATCCAGAACAGCATGCTAACGTATAACCCGAACTTTGTTTCTTCATCTCTTCACAATCATTCAAACCATCTTATGTTTGATTAATTTGATGCTATTAAGGAAAAATGGAAAAATGTTTCAAGGAAAAATGTTTCAAATTACAATGAGGCAAATGTCCCTACAGGGACAATATAAAGTGACAGTAAAAAAAAAGAACAGTATTTATTTCTCAGTGATTCTTTTCTGGATTTACAAATTGAGAAAAAGTTATTGTATCAATAGCTTTATTAAAGAGCTTAAAGAGCATGTGCGATGTTGGAATGCGTAAGTGTTTACTCTCTAGTTGGTACCAAAGAAATATTTCTTTTGGGAATAAATTTAATATTTCAATTTTAGCTTAAGACCCTTACTCTGACCATCTGTGTAATAAATTACATACATTTTCTGATGCACCGTCTGCGAAAGATCAGGTTGTTTGTGAGCGTTACGCAAGTTTATATTATTAAAACGGACTGCATAAAAGAGCTGCACAATATATCAAATTTATAGACCAGTTGCAGATTTAAGAAACTGCACAATGAATGGGAAAATACGTAAAAGTGTCGAC